CCCCCTCCCTCCCCTGGCCCCCCCCCCCGGGGCATTTGAATCTCCTCCACCCTGTCCCTTGGTGCCTTCCCCTTTCTTCTCCTGACCTGCCCCCCTCCTATCAGCACAAGCCCCTTCCTCTTCCACCCTTTCCCCCTATTCTTCCCCTCTCCTCCCTCCCTTCTGCTTTCCAGTTTGCAGGGCTGGAGTCTGCTGTGATCGGGCCCCAGAAGTCTCTGGAGCCTGGGCTCCAGACCACGTGCCAGACCTGGAGCTGGGCTGCTCAGCATTCAGAGCCCTGGCCCATCACAACACGACTGCCCCGCCAGGTGCGCTCACCGCCGTCCCACCTCTAGCCAGGCTCTGCTTCCCCACACACTACTCGGCACATCTCCTTCCTCCTCCTTCCCCGATCCACATCTGGCCGTTTTAAAAGATGGTGCCACAACGCCACAGCGACGTCGCACCACCCCCTCCGGTGCGCCACGTGTAACTTCACCCCCAGTGCAGCCCTGGCTCTAACTGGGTTGACAGCGCATGCTCGCGCCTCTCACAGCCATGCCTGCTTTCCCTTCCCCCAGTCCGGTACCTTCCCGGGCTAGGGTCAGCTTGCCGGCCTCCTCGTCAGAGTCCCTTGGCCCGGTGGGGTCTTCTGGCAGGGCCGTAGGTGCCAGCAGCGCCCCTACCGGCTCCGGTGCAGGAGTGCGGAGCCCAGTGGCTCTGTCCCCCCAAGCCAGTCTGTGCAGACTAGGCGGGTGCCCATAAATGCCCCAGCGGGCACCATGGCACCCCCGGGCACCATGTTGGGGACCACGGCTCTAGATCATTTATAAATAAATTGAATAGGATGGATCCCAGGACAGACCCTTGGGGGACCCAACTAGTTACTTCTCTTCACTCGGAAAATTGGCCATTTATACCACAGGGATGTTAAATTTTATTACATTATGGTCGCTATCTCCAAGCAGCTGCTCCAAGAAGCAGTCATTTAAGGTATCAAAAAATGTTATCACTGCATCCCATCCTGAGGTGATGCCTATCCAGTCAATATGGGGATAGTTTAAATCCCCCACTATTACTGAGTTTTTAAATTTGACAGCCTCTCTAAGCTTCCCTGGCATTTCATAGTCACTATCACTGTCCTGATCAGGTGGTTCATAATATATCCCCTACTGCTCTATTCTTATTATTGGAGCATGGCATTACTATCCATAGAGATTCTATAGAACATTTTGGCTCATTTAAGTTTTTCTTCATTTGATTCTACATTTTCTTTAACGTACAGTGCCACTCCCACCATCACGACCTGTTCTGGCCTTCCGATATATTTTGTACCCTGGTATGACTGTGTCCCATTGATTGTCCTCGTTCCGCCAAGGTTCTTGGGCTGTGGGGAGGGGGCCAGGATAGGCAAAGGCAGCAGGTCCACCCCCTTGCCGATGATGAATGGCCACTTCAGACTGCAGTTTTCCCCTGAGGCAGGTGCTAGATGAAGACTGGCAGTGGGTCACTGAGGCAAGGTGGGTATATGGAAATTGCTGGTTCCCTGGGAGGGGAGGACTCCAGCGTACAGAGACTGATAAACACTGGAGTGGGCTCTGCCAGAGGGCAGTGTCCTGAAGAGGACCACGCAATCTGAGTGATGCAGGTCTGAGCTGGAGTGTGACATGAGGACATGGAGGGGCACTCGCCAGAGGGACGCGCCCTGCTTCCAAGCTAATTCCCAGTACCACCAGCAGGAGGCACCATGGCGGTGAGTGTCTGCCCTGTGACACCAATATTTTAAACTACTAGAGAACTTCTTTTATATAGCTTTGTAACAGCATCATTCAATACTGATTTTAAAATCTTACCGAATCCAATGGTCTTCCCAGAGTTGATACTCAGGGAATATAGCAGGGGAGGCATTATTTCGTTCATGTTCCTTTTTGGCTTTTTCCATAGCTTTTTCATAAGATTCTTGTGCCTTAAAACAAAAAACAAAACAAAACACTTCATTTTAGTTTTATAGGGGCTCTAAACATGTACCTATCCTGGCATTTTATTAAGGTGTTTTTGGAAGACACATACATAATTTTAAAATTCATTTTAAATTCTTTTATTATAACCCCCTATAATAATTAGGAAGATTAACTTATTTTTCTATTAATAACTTTATGCTTTTTGGTCAAATTAGTAATGAACTGCTGGAAACTAATTTTGATTATACTATAGCCTCTTAGAGACATCATCCTCAACTCAACAATGCCCTTACCCTCTCCTCTCCCAGCATCACCCTGTCCCCCCTCCCACTGACACCTCCCCTCCTGCCCTTTTTCTTATTGTCTCCACTTGCCCCCCTCCACCGGCATTTGTCTCTCCTCCACCCTGTCCCTTGGTGCCTTCCCCTTTCTTCTCCTGACCTGCCCCCCTCCCATCAGCACAAGCCCCTTCCTCTCCCACCCTTTCCCCCTATTCTTCCCCTCCCCTCCCTTCTGCCTTCCAGTTTGCAGGGCTGGAGTCTGCTGCAATCGGGCCCCAGAAGTCTCTGGAGCCTGGGCTCCAGACCACGTGCCAGACCTGGAGCTGGGCTGCTCAGCATTCAGAGCCCTGGCCCATCACAACACGACTGCCCCGCCAGGTGCGCTCACCGCCGTCCCACCTCTAGCCAGGCTCTGCTTCCCCACACACTACTCGGCACATCTCCTTCCTCCTCCTTCCCCGATCCACATCTGGCCGTTTTAAAAGATGGTGCCACAACGCCACAGCGACGTCGCACCACCCCCTCCGGTGCGCCACGTGTAACTTCACCCCCAGTGCAGCCCTGGCTCTAACTGGGTTGACAGCGCATGCTCGCGCCTCTCACAGCCATGCCTGCTTTCCCTTCCCCCAGTCCGGTACCTTCCCGGGCTAGGGTCAGCTTGCCGGCCTCCTCGTCAGAGTCCCTTGGCCCGGTGGGGTCTTCTGGCAGGGCCGTAGGTGCCAGCAGCGCCCCTACCGGCTCCGGTGCAGGAGAGCGGAGCCCAGTGGCTCTGTCCCGCCAGGCCAGTCTGCCCCTGCATTAGGGTGTGCCTAATGCAGACTAGGCGAGTACCCATAAATGCCCCAGCGGGCGCCATGGCGCCCGCAGGCACCGCATTGGGGACCATAGTTTAAAACAGTGATTAGAAAGATTAAAGTGTTCCCCAATAGGTTTCTGTATGTTTCCTTTACGTGTATCTGATTTGTGTCCATTAATTCTTTCCTGCAGAGACTGTCCAGTTTGTCCAATATATATAGCAGTGGGGCATTGCTGGCATTTGATGGCATAGATCAAATTCCTGGATGTGCAATCAAATGACCTTTTGATTTGGTAGCTTGTGTTGTTGGCTCCAGTGATGAATTCACTAGTATAGATCTGTGGGCAGAGATGGCATCGTGTTTGGTTGGGTTCCTGGATGCTTATGATGTGGCTGTATGGCATGGTTATTGGAAAGAATTTGTTTCAGGTTGGGGGGTTGTCTGTAAGCGAGAACAGGCTTTTCTCCCAAAGCCTCTGAGAGTGAGGGATCATTTTCCAAGATGGGTTGTAGATTGTGTATAATGCGCTGGAGGGGTCTTGAGTTGTGGACTATAGGTAATAACAAATAGAGTTCTTTTATTTTCTCTTTTGGGTCTGTCTTGAAGTAGTTCATCTCTGGGATAATTTTTTGGTTCTATCAATTTGTTTTGTCACTTCTCCAGGTGGGTATTTCAGTTTTAGGAATGCTCTGTAAAGATCCTGTAGGTAATTATCTCTGTCTATGGGTTTGGAGCAAATCCGGTTGTACCTTAGGGCTTGGTTGTATACAGTAGACTGAGAAATGTGTCTGGGATAGAAGCTAGAGACACAAATCAGATATACGTAAAGAAAACATACAGAAACCTATTGGGCAACACTTTAATCTTCCTAAACACTGTTTAACAGATCTTCAAGTAGCTGTCTTGTCACAAACCAGTTCTACTAGCCAGATACACAGAGAAACTTTGGAATTAGAGTTCATCCACAAATTCAATTCACATGCTAATGGACTCAATTGTGATGAAGTCATAGAAGGTGCAAACAGCTCTTTGTGTAGACTCCTATGTCAGGAAGGATGCTATCAATTGACTTTGATTCTGATCTGCTTCGTTTTAGCTACCCAATCTTCAGATACTTACTGATTCCCTCCTTTCCCTCCCTCCCCCGCCTTCTCTCCTATTTATTTTGGGTCTGCACATCCTAAACTAAAAACTCTGGTCATCTGAAGAAGTGGGCTATGCCCTCAAATGTTCATGATACCATCTACATGGTTTTGTTAGTCTGTAAAGTGCTACCAGACCATTTGTTCGTTTTTTATAGTTACACCTAAAATTACTGTAATGAAAAAATAATTTAGTACAAATATTCTTCCAGGGTTTTTTTGTGCATTTTAGTATAATCAGTTTCAGTCTTGCTGAAAAGATTGTTACAAACATCCAAGATAAAAACGTTTGTAAAGTTTTGTTTTTTTAAAGGAATTTTTATGATAAGGTGTTCTATTTAAAAGAAGCTCTATCACAAATTGAATATTTTAAGAATGTTTCTGTTTTAAACAATTTAAGTTGACATTGTCCCTGTAAGCCAAAAGGTGATATGTACATGTGTGTTAAATGCTTATATTCAAGTTTACACATCAAAATTGCAATATAGCATGACATCTTCATGATAAAGGCAGAACATCTACAGGTGCAAATCTACTATAGTGATAGAAAATGTTATTTATATATATGTAAATAATAAAATAACAGTGCTTGTCATTTTTGCCTTTTTCTTACAGATACCAGTTTAAGTGGCATTGTATCATATTGCTAGAGTTCATGCTTAAACTTTGGTAAATATCATAATCACAATTCAATGTTAAGTTATTTATATTTTCATTCTTCAAACAAAATGTTCTAATCATTATTTTCTTTTGTCTTTCAGATCCTGCCACAGATTCTGTTTTTTAAATGCTCTGTACAAATATATCACATTAAATATATTTTTGTTTATCCAAGAAATACCTTTTTTTTTATTTAAAATGTTATTTGTATGTGACCCTTTTTTATTCCAGTTTTTCTCTATATTAATTTGTTAAATTTAAAATATTATCTATTGAACTTTGTCTTATGAAGCTCTTTTGAGTTTAGGAATTTTCACAACTACCATGGAAAAGTGTTACCAACATGTGTTTTCTGTAAAGCCCAGAGATTAGTGAGAGAGGGTGATATTAGCTTGCAATTACATTAATTTGCATCGGCTGATGTGTACCAAGAACACTGAAGGTGTATGTTGAGATACACACAGTGTTTGAGACGCATTAACCACGCACTCCTTCCTATATGTCCAAAGAGCAGAACATGAATGCATGGTTAAAAAGACCCCTTTACAACTATTTAAATTAATATTTTAATAAATGTTTTGTTGATGAGGTGTGTAGCCCTGAAGACTGAAGGCATCTATCTACAGAACAAGTAGATGTCAGGCATAGCTCAGCCATGTGTCTATATTTTGTCTCTAGATTATTGGTTGCTTTTCCTTTGATTTCTGTCCAATACTGCCAACAAGGGTACTGATTGTGAGGGTGGTTTCTGTCTTCTGGAAACAGGACAAAAACCCACCAGTTCATTCCAAATATACCACAAAACAGCCATCAAATAATTATATTCAGTAATTGCTGACCTGCACCAATTCACACCAGCAAAATAGAGGAAAACGGACTTCTTGTTTGGCTAGCTATGAGCTAGGCCAGAAGTTGGCAAAAGGGCCTCCGCAGGCCGGATCCAGCCCACCCAGCGAGTTGAGTCGGCCCACGGAGTCCCTGCTGCTCCCCCACCCCCAGTCCAGTTAGGATCTGGGGGCGGGGAGAGTGCACAAAGTTTCCTCCGCCATACCCCTGCCATACCCCTGATAGGCCTGAGGTCTCGAGGAGCATAGGAAGTCTTTTCCCACTGCCAGGGGCATGGGTGCTTAGTGGAAAGAGGAGAGTAAAGTGGGGGGCAAAGGGGACCAATCATGGTCTGTGCCTGGGGAAGCCCGAAGCATCCTGGCCCTGCCCCCTTCCTTTTGAGGCCCCACCCCTTCTGGTGTGACCCAGTGGCCCTTGCAGTGTGGCTCAGGGCCACTTCAAAAATTATTGGCCCACCCCTGAGCTAGGCATGCCAAAGGGGTCAGTATTGCACCTCGATTAAAAGATTACAAAGAGGAATTTAAAAAGCAGCTACATTATGTGAAAATTCTCTTTTATGCCCCCTAAACAGAGAGTTTTATAAAACCCCTGCTCAGGGTTGTGAGCCAACAAATTATGCTGTAGTGGATATACATTATTATTCTGCAGATAAAATGTCTTTGTGCATTCTATGACCACAGCAAAAATAAATGCAATTTATAAGTAGTTTCTGAGTATATTTAATAGTGTTCCAATTCCTCATTAACTTAGCATTTCACAACTAGTTTTTAAGCATAGGACAAAATGGGCCAAACTTATCCCTCATGTCATTCCAGTGAAGTCAGTGGATAGCAACAGGAAAAATGTTTCCCAGGATTTCAATGAAGGAATGTTTCCATTTAAATTTCTAATCTGCTGCAGAATTTACTTTGCCTGGCTTTTAACTTACTTGCTGAAACTTTTATGCAAATTCTTGATTAGAAGCTCAGCAGATTTTTTACAGAAGAAACAAATCCTGCCTTATAGACATGCCTTCCAGGACTTCCGTCATAATGCCCTTTGCTAGAAGAGCAATATAGCTGTACACAGACAATCCAGGAAATGTTTGGAATGTTGAGGACAACTTGCTGGTGCAAATGCTGGAGGAGCCAACTAGGGGTCATGGTCCTTTTGACCTGCTGCTCACAAACAGAGAAGAATTGATAAGGGAAGAAGAAGTAGCAACCTGGACAACAGTGACCATGAAATGGTTGAATTTAGGATGCTGACCAAAGGAAGAAAGGAAAGCAGCAAAATAGAGACCCTGGACTTCAGAAAAGCAGATTTTCACTCTCTCAGGAAACTGACAGGCAGGATTCACTGGGAGGTTAATATGAGGGGGACAGGATTCCAGAGAGCTGGCTGTATTTTAAAGAAGCCTTATTGGGAATACAGGAGCAAACCATCCTGATGTGCATAGCAAATATGGCAGGTAACCAGCTTGGCTTAACAGAGAAATCTGTGGTGAGTCGAAACACAAAAACGAAGCTTGCAAGAAGTGGAAACTTGACAGATGACTATGGAGGAGTATAAATACATTGCTTAAGCATGCAGGGGTATAATCAGGAAGGTCAAAGCAGAATTGGAGTTTCTGCCAGCAAAGGAAATGAAGGATAACAAGAAGGGTTTCTACAGGTATGTTATCAATATTCAACTTATTTGTAAATGATCTGGAGAAAGGGGTGGACAGTGAGGTGGCAAAATTTGCAGATAATACTAAACTGCTCAGGGTAGTTAAGACCAAAGCAGACTGTGAAGAGCTTCAAAAAGACCTCACCAAACTAAGTGACTGGGCAACAAAATGGCAAATGAAATTTAATGTTGACAAATGTAAAGTAATGCACATTGGAAAAAATAATCCCAACTATACATACAATATGATGGGGACTAATTTAGCTGCAGCTATTCAAGAGAGAGATCTTGGTGTCATTCTGGATAGTTCTCTGAAAACATCCACTCGGTGTGCAATGGCAGTCAAAAAAGCAAACAGAATGTTAGGAATCTTTTAAAAAGGATAAAGAATAAAACAGAGAATATCTTATTGTCGCTATATAAAAGCATGGTACACCCAAATCTTGAATATTGCATACAGATGTGGTCACCTCATCTCAAAAAAGATATATTGGCACTGGAAAAGTTTTGGAAAAGGGCAACAGAAGTGATTAGGGGCTTGGAATGGGTCCCATATGAAGAGAGATTAAAAAGACTGGGACTTTTCATTTTAGAAAAGAGGAGACTAAGGGGGGGGATATGCTAGAGGTCTATAAAATCATGACTGGTGTGGAAAAAGTGAATAAGGAAAAGTTATTTACTTGTTCCCATAATATAAGAATTAGGGGTCACCAAATGAAATGTAGGTAGCAGGTTTGAAACAAACAAAAGGAAGTTTTTCTTCACACAGTGCATAGTTAATCTGTGGAACTCCTTGCCAGATGATGCTTTGAAGACTAGGACTTAACAGGGTTCAAAAAAGCGAGATAAATTCATAGAGGTTACATCCATCAATGACTATTAGCCACGATGGGTAGGATTGGTGTCCTTAGGTTCTATTTGTCTGGAAATGGATGACAGGAGAGGGATCATGTTATGATTACCTGTTGTGTTCACTCCCTCTGGGGCAGCTGGCATTGTCCACTGTTGGCAGACAGGATACTGGGCTAGATGGACCTTTGGTCTGACCCAGTATGGCTGTTCTTATGTAATAAGAAGGTGGTCTGGCTAAGCATGAGGCCCTTATGGAATGTGCAGACCCACTGACAGAGGGGTAAAGGGGACAACTGCTCTGGGGCCCAGTGATTCAAAAGGGCCTGGAGCCCCAGGACCTTTAAATTGTACCAGAGTTCTGTGTGGCATGCTTCGAGTAGCCCTCAAGACTGGCAGAGGGTGTGGGGGGAGGGGTCAGCATGGCACACTCCAGGCGGTGCTCCAGACTGGCAGCCCCCAGCCCTCTTTCTTTCACCTGAGAACCCACCACTTCTGGGAGCTCAAAGCGGCTCCCACCACACCTTGCCTAAGGGCCCAACGAGTCTGTTGGCCCCGCTGTGAATGGAGAAGGCAATCTAGTGACAGATGATGTGGAAAAAGTACTAATTTCTTTGCCTTGGTCTTCACAGACAGACAGCTCCCAGACTGCTGCACTAGGCAGCACAATATTGGGAGGATCAGCCCTCGACAGTGAAAGAACAGGTTAAGGACTATTTAGAAAAGCTAGACATGAACAAGTCCATAAGGCTGGATCTAATGCATCTGAGAGTGCTGAGAAAGTTGGCTGATGTAATTGTAGAGTCACTGGCCATTATATCTGAAAACTGTTGGGCTATGCCTACACTGCCCCCATTTTGTGCAAAAAATATGCAAATGAGGCAAAGCGTGGAATATCGCTGTACCTCATTTTCATAATTAATGAGGCTCCATTTTTGCTCAAGAGGCTTTTGTGCAAAAAGGAGCCATGTAGACGGCTCCTTTTTGCACACAAAAACCCCTCTTGTGCAAGAGCCGTTCCTCCGCATTTTTTTCAGGAAGAACAGCACTTGCGCAAGAGGGATTTTTGCGCAAAAAGGAGCAGCGTAGTCGGCTCCTTTTTGCAGAAAAGCCTCTTGCGCAAAAACGGAGCCTCATTAATTAGGCAAATGAGGCGCAGTAATATTCCACGTTTCACCTCATTTGCATATTTGTTGCGCAAAACGGGGACAGTGTAGACATAGCGTTGGTGATCAAGGGAGAGGTCCCAGATGATTAAAGAAGGCATATGTAGTGCCCAGCTTTAAAAAGAGGAAGAAGAAGGATCTAGGAAATAACAATCCAGTCTGCCTCACATTCCATGGAAAAATCATGGAGCAGGTCCTCAAGGAATTCATTTGGAACAGTTGGAGGAAAGGATGGTCATCAGAAACAGTTAACATGCCCAACCAACCTGATTGCTTTTTATGATGAGATAATTGATTCTACGCATATGGGAAAATGGTGGATGTGATATACTTGACTTTAACAAAGCTTTTGACATAATCTCCCGTAGTATTGCTGGAAAATTAAGGAAGTATGGCCTGGATGAATGGACTATAAGGTGGATAGAAAGCTGGCTTGATTGTTAGGCTCAATGACTAGTGATCAATGGCTCAAAGTCTAATTGGCAGTGTTACTGTCCCAAGGATTGGCCCTGAGGCAAGTTTTGTTCAGCATCTTCATTAATGATCTGGATGAGGGGTTGGTTTGCACCCTCAGCAAGTTTGCAGATGACACTAAGCTAGGAGGTGAGGTAGATACGTTGGAGGGCAAGGATAGGGTCCAGAGTG